CCGTAGGGCTTCATTCTGGGCGAGTTTGAAGAAATTCGATTTTTTCGCTATTTCCATGTCTAGTTGATATTTAGGCGAAGCTGCTCTTAAAGCCACTGCAGCTCTTATTAATAACGAACAATTTATTTCCATGAAAGGCGAGGTGTGAAATATTTTACTATCGCCTCTTCAGTCGAAAGGTGTGATGAAAATCTAATTTCTTATTACAGTATTTATATATATTCAAGGAGGCAGGTGATGGGAACAACGAAATTATTAAATGATGTATTAGCAAATTAACAGCAATAGAAATTGAAGAAATGTATAGCAATTAAAATGGACGATATACGGATATTTTTTACATTTTGAACTTACATATTTGAACTCAGTAAAATAGAACAGAAATCAAACAATCATGTAAACTAACCCAGATGATAATGATGCAACTGCGCCCTTTTGTAGTAAAGCTTGGCGTTCAGTGTGTCATCTTTGCACTTTAATTCAATCCCTTCAGTGTAGCAACTTAACGCTTTCCTAAAGTCATTTTTACCGTGCTCGGCTTCTCCTTTGAGGAGTTGTGCTCTTGCTGAGAGAATGAAAGCATGCATTGAGAAGTAACTTTTTGAGCTTATGTAAGTGTTGTCGCTAAACCAAACTAAAGTGGTCACAACAAACGTTAACAACGTTTTAAGACAATAAAGCAATAAGAAGGCGATGCGAAATACCAGAAAACGCTGACAAGCGCGGGAAAACACACATGACCAGGCTGTGATTGACTTTGGTCTTGTTTCTGAATAGATGAGCTTGTAGCCAATGTTTTTCAAACCAATTGAAGAACATAGCAAAGCAAAATCAAAGCAATTCGGGATGCAACTTTCGACACTCAATTATTAAGCAATAGAAATGGTTTAATGCCATAGACGTAAATAATGGAACAGGCTCAAATTGTTTAGTTTTTACTTAAGTGAACTATAGTATAAATAAATTTGTTAGCGAAAAAATTCCGGTCGTTGCGAATGGGAATAAATAGAAACAATTATAAATTCTGCAATAACCTTAGCTCCAAAATTGCAAATACGTAAAAAAGGTGTTATGTAGTACTTTTTATTGCCATATTTTCTCACCTCTTAACATGTCATGGTCAAGACCACGTTTTTGTAAAACTCTGGGATTTTTATCTGATGACGCAATTATAAAAGTGTGTGTTAGTCGTTTGTGTTCAAGATGTATCGTGACTCTTGCTCTTAATAATTATATCTACAATCTGTTCTTAAGATTTGTATTTCTAGTAAAAATGATTGATCATAATAGTGGCTGAAGTGTTTTCAATCTTCGAAGACAAGCGTATCTTGAAAACGACTGCATTGATTTTTGAGTCACAAAGCGGCCCGCTTCTTTGGTATGTACATTCCATGTATATAAAGAAAACCCAAAAATTTGGAAACGAACAAGGATTTATAAACAGAAAAGAAGAATCAGAAAGAACTTTGATGTACCTGTTATTTCCTTTAAGTGGTATAGATCCTCGAGTGCATCTTGGAAATTCCCTTTGGAAAGTGAGCAATGTGGTAGCTAAATATCACAGACATTGAAAGCGCACAGTAGGCCTATTTCTCATGGGCGGAGCAAAACGATTAAGTATGGTGGCTTCAAAACGTTATAGGTGGACGTTGTCCATCTTAGGGTACCCCTCTTCAACGTTTTGCCAAATTGTTGAATAATGCTCGGTCATCCTTACATACCTCTAAGGGTTCTTAAGAGGGGAAGGGGTACTGCGAAACTAAAATATTTAGTGGAAGAACAAAACATGAGGACCCTAGCTTGCTTTTCATGAAACATTATTCCTTAAAGCCACTGCAGCTCTTATTAATAACGAACAATTTATTTCCATGAAAGGCGAGGTGTGAAATATTTTACTATCGCCNTGGAAAGTGAGCAATGTGGTAGCTAAATATCACAGACATTGAAAGCGCACAGTAGGCCTATTTCTCATGGTGGCTTCAAAACGTGTAGGGCATGATTGCTTATAGGTGGACGTTGTCCATCTTACAGTACCCTTCTTCAACGTTTTGCCAAATTGTTGAATAATGCTCGGTCATCCTTATATACCTCTAAGGGTTCTTAAGAGGGGAAGGGAAACTGCGAATGTAAAATATTTAGTGGAAGAACAAAACATGAGGACCCTAGCTTGCTTTTCATGAAACATTATTCCTTAAGAGCAGCTTCGCCTAAATATCAACTAGACATGGAAATAGCGAAAAAATCGAATTTCTTCAAACTCGCCCGGAATGAAGCCCTCCGGGCACTAGTAAAAAAAAATTTTGTTTTAAGTTCGATAAATCAAAAATTATTTTTTTGCGCAATTGTTTCGTTTCGATGCCCCAAATCGGCCAAAATCGATCGAAACTGAGCGGCATATTCAGAGGCTCGTAAACTCAAAAGTAAAAATTTTCATTACAAACTGATTGCACGTCGTATTTGTACTTCCTTTCTTGTCTATTTAGAGTTAAATAGATCGTGATTTGGTTAGAACTAAAATATTTGATGAATTTTGTCAATTAACGACCCAAGACAGCTTTACAAGAGGTCTAATTTTGGCCTAGTTTTCAAATGCTAAAAAGGCGCTCTGGTACACGGCTTTTCCCAAAATGACTAGTTTGGTCTGAAAGAGCATTGTTTCTTCTTCAGATCAGTGAAATAAAATTTTTGGGTAAATAAAGTCGCGAGCGCTGAGATAGCGAACTAAATGTAGCACTTCTTCCTGAAAACGTGACCTTTGACCCAAGCGTAACGAAACCGATTACTGCAAGAAAACCCGGAAGAAAAGCAAACGATTCGTTATTTTGAAACAATTTCTGGTGATATCTCTCCGAAACCATGATTTCAAAAAACTATTTCCAGATATGAAATCTTACAGGGTCAAAGAAGGAGCTAAAGGGCGCATTTTGACACAATATTTAAAATGTTTAAGTTCTGATCAAATCGCGATTTATTTAGCTCTAAATAGACAAGAAAGGAAGTACAAATACGACGTGCAATCAGTTTGTAATGAAAATTTTTACTTTTGAGTTTACGAGCCTCTGAATAT